GGACGGGAAGGAACCTGAAATCTCGCTTAGAAGTAGGAACTAGGAACAGAGGCGCAAAACAAAGGACGGGACCTACACGGATTTTTCACGCACAGTATGAAAATTAATACTGAGATGGAACCTTACCTACACAGAAAACCCGGCACCGCGATTTTCGCAACTCGAACCTGAACCTTAAAATGGGAAGTGCCTAATTTTAGTAATTGCTTAAGTACTACAGCCAACAACATAACTCCATTATCGCTTCCGCGTGTGCACTGTATGCTTTACAAAAGTAAGACAGGTGCATTACACGACAGAAATCGCTGTAACCGATGTTTATTGCCTTCAACGCATACACAGTAGATGAAAAGTATCGCTTCTGGATCCCCAGTGTAGGTACTGTAGAAGCAACATAGCTGAAGTACTTGTATGCTGGAGTTTCTATGTAACTGTCACGCTGCACGGCTTGGTAGTCGGTTTGACTGTGATGCTGGCATTTGTTTCGTCTTCTGGAGTAGTACTTACCTGCTTGATGGAGTTTTTGGGAGAAAAAAATTGGCAGGGTTTTAACCGTTTTAAGTTGCCCTTAGTGTATTTTCAGTACCACTTTCTCGGCTCAAAAGTTGCCACTTCTAGAAATAAAGTATAAGGTAGAAAATGATGAAATAGAAAAAGAAGGGAAGGAAAACGAAGTGAAAAAAAAGGAAAACTACGGCAAGGTAACTACCTTACCAACTATAAGAATCCAAAGTACTTCATGGATTTCCTTCCCAAAACCCGCATTGGTCACTTGGCACAGGGATTGTTTACCCGAAGATGAGATCTCCCAGGGGAACCTCAAAAACTGATCTGGAAAAAAGCTGAGCGAAGCAGCCTTTCTGCAGTTCGCCTTGTGTACTCTCCCAATATCCCTCCTTGCCCTTTCCTCCATCCCTCTCACCTCACCCTCAGCACACTCTTCCTGAACTCGCTAATGCAGCACTGCTCACATCGGACAAAACGTAGAAGACAAATTATCGCAACTCACTAGCGCAAGGAGTCCGCAATTAATTGCGAAACCGGATAGAACAGACTTCCCTCAATTCATTCTTACAACTTTGTTTTGAGTCACAACTTGATCCTCAAACAGCAACCAATGGACGCAGGAGAGAAGAAGTTCAGAACAATAGCTCAACCAACGAAGGAATGGTACTGCTGCTTGGCCGTCGTTAGCAGCTGACCTCGAATTCGAATTGATTGCTAATATTGGAAGCGGCAAAGTCAAAATTCAGTACCGGAAGCCAAAATCCCATCGTATTTTCTCATTCCACAAGAGCCAGGGGCAATTCGAAAGTATCCTGAGTGGCAGTAAATACTAATAGCAACAAAACGGAAAGCCCGGAACCAAAGCTGATGATTAACAGTTATTGGCTACACCGCTGGAGAATATTTCAAATACAAAACAGTGATGGACCAGTAGCTAATTTAAGTGAGCAAATAAGCAGTTTTAAATTTTAATTTAGATGTTTTATGATTATGAAAGATTGTAAAAAGATGAAAATGAAAAATATAAAATAAAAATAAAAATAAACCCCGAATGGGAATGTTTCGGTCCATCAAATCGCATACATTCAAATATTCATATTAAATAGAAAGGAGAATAAAAGGAAGTGCACCAAAAAATCCATAGGAAAAAAGGATGGAGGATCAAATTTGCAGTAAAAATCTGAAGAGAAATGTTTCGACCCATTAATTCATAGTTTGTTTCTCCAGCCATCAAGTGAGGGAACAAATTCGAAATATTTATTAAAATGGGAGGAGAATAAAAAAAAGGATCAATAAATCCAGAAAAAAAAAGATGGAGAATCAAATTTAAAGTAAAAGTCTGAGGAGAATTATTTCGACCCATTAATTCATAGTTTGGTTCTCCAGCTATTTTTCCAGTTGCTTTGACTAGTGCTGCATCGTCTGGTTAATTAATACTAATGTTCGTTTTTCCGCCTCAAATTTGGGTTATTAAACCGTTTTTAAAGTGACGTAATGTATGTGTTAAATTTTGACCTTGTCGAATACTTTATTTTCGCCGGTCTTAGAACCTTATTGAATATTTAAATTGTCGAGAACTGGAACTTAAATTCGCCAAGCAACAGACGTACAAGTCAGGTTTTAATTAAATTTCAAAAATTTGTGTTTATTTGTATCAAATTTAGTCCAAATAAACGCACATCGAAAATATGACATCAATAACAGTGATATCATTTCTTCCTTCGGCTTCTTGGTTTCGCAGTTCCGTTAAGCTCGTGGAGAACTTGTTTCGGTAATTCTGAAATAACTTGTAGGAGTTTTGTGGATAAATTAGGAAGTTTTTCTAACTTATACACCTTCCTTACTTTGACACCCAAGATCAACCTGGACGCTACAATCGGCTTAGCCAAATGGTGTGGTTCCATACTCCTACGTTACAATCTTTGCGGGATACAATTTAAAGCCCCATACTGAGTAACCATCTGATCTTACCGCGATTTTATAGTAAGATGATCTAGCCTAACCGGAAAAATCAGGACACATTCAATTTGCTTGGGACAGAAATGAATGTTTTTTTCGTTTCTGAAGGATATAATGAAGTGAAGTGAACAGATGACGGAACGAGGGAAGCGTGAGGCAAGAAAAACTCGTCCGTGCTCATTCCGTTGGAAAGTTCGCTAGCACCATTAAAAGCCCTGCTTTGTGGCCTCTCCTTCGCAGACCTCTGTATGTTAAGGTGCTAATTTTCCGTTGCGTTGGTCTCAAACGCTGTGAGGTGTTTCTGTTCGTGTTTCGCTTCTTATGTACCAAGCGCATGACATGTTTGTATGCTAGTATATATATGTTCTGCTTGGCGATTGAATAAAATGTGAAATGTGATTTTATGAAAAAAAGGAAAGT